TATTCTATTCTATTCTATTCTATTCTATTCTATTCTATTCTATTCTACTCTATTTCTATTCAACGTAAACATTCATTTAGCAACAACAATTCTAGCATTCCTGTTGTCACTGTTAACTGAACCCTGTGACTCAGGGGTTTCTTGGCACATTGTAAAAGCTCTCAAGGAAATGGCTGTTTTCCAAACAGAAATAGTGTTAGTATTGTTCAGTACTATAAACTAAGTACTCCAACATAGCGGTCCCAACCTTTTCAGCTCTGTGGACCGGCAGCAGCGGGGGGGGGGGGGGAGGGGTCTCGTGTACGCCTGCCACTTGCACAAATGGAGCTTCACACGCTCATGTGCTTACCTGCTGCTTGCATGGCCCAGTTCCCAACAGACCACGAATCAGTACCGGACTGGGGACTGGAAGCTGGGGATCCCTGCTCTAATACAGGATAGTTCCATCTCTAGCTTTGAAAGCAAAGAAAGGAAGTCTGTCCTCAGTAGAGCCAGAAGAAAGCCAGACTCAGGGACTTACCTCTGAACAAAGACTTCATTGTGCAGGTAATTCTCAAAAGTCTTCCTGAAGGCAGATTCCTCCAAGTCCCTCTTGATCTGAGAGTCTGTTTTAGGGCAGGTACAACAGTTTTCACTTCTTTTGTCACCCTCAGTCCCATTGTGCTTGAAGTTGTCTTCTATTAGAGGGGGAGACCATGTCCAAGAGGGTAGCTTCAAGCCTGCAGGATGGATAGATAATAAAGCTTTTATGTCTAATGATCCTAAAAGATGAATGGTCAGTAAGGAAATAATAGCCTCAAGGTCATCATGTTTTTAAATATGTAATGCCAATTCCTACTGGAAAGAACTGCAATTCAAGCAAGGTCCTCTTTAATTGAATATGTCTGGGGGTTGAATATAGTACCTGACTACAGCTTGCTAAAGCAATCACTCCTTCTCCCCGGATCATGAAGGTGCCCTCAAAACTTGTTGTATAATCCCAGAAAAATATATGCTTGGTTTAAGGATTTGCAGATAGATGTTATTTGTTTCTACCTGCTCCATGAAACTTTTCTTAATTCAAAACAGAGGGTTAGGCAGCCTGTTACATAGCCTACTAACCATGTTGGTTAGATTATGGGAACATTGGCCCAGCATGTGTAGAAGATGCCAGTTATGTTCAGACATTTTAGTTAATTGCTGTTGGTTAGTGTAGGGTTGCTCAAATCACCTCTTTCCAGGTTAATCAAAGAAGCTTAATTAAGGTTAAATCCACAGTGCTGGAATATTAATGTAGCCGGAGTTAGTTTATTAGATTTTTACCCACTGCAATTCATCAGACTCTTGCTGCTTATAGATACAATTAACCAAAAATACAAACATGACTAAACCCACAAATCACAATATCAACAAAGAGGTGTTGTAATCCAAATACCTTTTTGTACAGCTCAGTTGTCAACATGTTCTGAAAAGGGGCCGAGTGAAATCTAATCTCAAGCCAGAAGCCAACCCAAAGGGCTGGTGCCACCCAAAAGTAACTATTTTTTCTGAACATCACCTTTCTAACTTATTAAAAGTGGGGAACAATCTGCTGCTACTCATGGCACAATCGTAAGGTTGGACAGAGTTGTGTAAGAAGATACAGTCTTGTATGAAGTCCCACACCATAAAAGACTTTTATAGCTTAACACCAGAACTTCAAACTGCATCTGAAGTTTTACCAGGAACTAATGCAGGGATACAATACAGGTATCACAGGTCCAAGTGATAACTGCAGGCGAATATCTGGGCTGCTACATTCTCTATGAATTAAAATTACTAGATGCTTTTTAATGACAGCCCCATATGGAGTAGAGGTAGGCTAAATAGTGGACTAAATAAGCGCACCAACCTACTTGCTCTGAAAATATCAGAAGTTTAAATCTGGAAACAGGGGGACACAGCTAGCCTGCCTTACCCTTCAGGCAATAATCTAGTTCATAGAGTTCACTGTCTTCACTTTGTTGTTCCCAGGATATCATATAATGTGTAATATTCCCATTGGGATGAGACGGTGGCTTCCACTTCAGAATGATCTGTGATGAAGAGTTGGAAACAGAAAATGGATCCTGGGGGACACTTGGCACTGGAGACAAGAGAAAAAAATATATAGCCATCAAAAAATAGGAACAAGGCGAACAAAACCTTATCAAGTCACACAATGAGTCTCTCAATAGAAGAGAATGTTTGTAGCTGGGAATTTAGCTGTGAGGACCTTGGTGCACTCTGAGCTTGGTTATTTTCTTGCAGATGTTTCATTACAAGCTAGGTAACATCATCAATGCTAGTACAGAATGGGGTTTGCTCTAGTTTTATATACTAGTGACTTGCCCTGTCGGTGTTGGTGGGAGTAGTCTTCATGGTCCCTTGACTGGACTGTTGTTTACTGTTAGCTTGTTTATCTGAGTGGGTAGTTGGGGGTATTCAGGTATTGCTTACTACTTGATTGTTGGTTTAATGTTAATCTTGATGTTAATTTAACATCTGAATGCTGATTGATGATGAGTGTTTTGGAGATTTGCTTCCTTTTCGGCTGTTTAATTGTCTCTATTTTATTCTGGGCTAGTTTGATTGTTCTTGGAATGCTATGGCCACTTCTGAATAATGAACTTTAAATGGTAAATAGAGCAGCCAGACAGATTCAGAGGACAACTAATCAAGAAGATAAGGGGTCTGGAAACAAAAGTCTATAAGGAGCAATTAAAGGATCTGGGTATGTTTGGCTTGCAAGAGAAAATTTAGGGAAGATTTTACAATGGTCAATTATAAATTATTACAATTATAAATAGATATCTATAAATATCTAAAAGGATGCAACATACAATAGTGGACCTATTTTGCTAAAACTAAGAGTGGGGCAAGGACCAATGAAATTGAATTAAAAAGGAAAGGGGGTTCAGGTGAATACTTTGGGGGATTTCCTGGTGTTGAGAATTGAAAAAGATTTTCAAATGGGTCACATTAGATAACCTACAAGTCTTTTCTAAAAAACTCTGCAGCAATACATTAACATAATTATCTAGTACATAATTATTAAGTCAGGGAATCAATTACAACAATCCTTCCCCCAAGAACTGTTTTGACTGGCAGTTCTTAAACATTGCAAGACAGTAGTACTGCTCACCAGAAGCATTAGTTCGAATGTATATGATCTCGCTCTTTGCCCCATAGATTTTCTGCTCATCTGTATGCGTGACCAGTGTCTTCACAAAAATGGCATACTGAGTCCAGGCTTTCAGGCCCCGCATCAGATATCCAGGGTCTTTGAGTTTGGCATCGGATGCCCGGGAAGGAGGTTCAATATCCACCACCGTCCAGCTGTTGGAGCCACAAACATCCTGGCCATCAAATTCCGTCACGTTCCGAAAGGGACTAGCCCCAAAAAAGAAGGGAAAAGACACTAGCTGCTATTTCAGAAAAGCAATACATGCGTGTAGGAAGAAATGTGCTATTCATTCTAAATGGGGGGCAAGGGATACAAGTTCAGAATTATGGAGAGGGAAAAGAACTCTTCTCTCTAACCAGACTGGCCAATGATAGTGCTAGGTGTGTAGAGAATCCTATCAGCCTAAAATGGCCAAATAACCCAAGTGAACAAAGAATGCCAATTCTGGTGTAGTACAATGGTAAAGCCAAGCACTCAAGAGCAAGTGCATCCATACATGAAGCTATTCCCACTAGCAACTTGATAGCCTCCACTGGGTTACGAATAAAAGCAGAGGCCACGATGTTTTTTGCCTACTGAACATAACTGACATTTTGCTGTTATTTATTTCTTTTAATGTGAAGCATTTTTAAAGCTAAGTGTAAGATTAGTAATTAAAAAATGGCTAATGTCAAAAGTTTGGATGTATTTAGAGTAACTACAAAGCTAACTTTGTTTTTCCTCACGGTTAATCAATTTATTTTACATTTAACATATGATCAAATCTATTGAATATCACTATATTTTTGTAATTGTAATATTTACAAAGCCTCTTAGATACAGGTTGCTTTGTTCTGTCCAACTATGAAGACTAGTACTTCTATCTACATTCAGTCTCCAAAAATATTCAATGAAAGAAATAAAGCTGGAGACAACTCTGGTACTTTCTGGATCACTGGCCATTAACCTTTCTCAGCCTTGCTCTTCTGCACTACACAATATAGGCTTGATATCTGGGAACCTAACTTTCACAAGGATTGTTTACTTACGCTTCCTTATAGAACACCATGAAGCCCAAAAGGTCACGGAAGTCCAGTGGCCAATATGGCTCCCATTTCAGTACAATTTTGTCACTGGATGTTTTTATCTTAGTAAACTTCAGCAATTCATTCTCACCTGCAGAAAATGACATCACATTTGTATTATCAAACATTTGCGCGTACAAGAAACAATGGTAAGACCATACCAAATTGAGTATTTGGTGTTGTATCTAGAAAAGTAAATCCCATACTCTGTGCGACTCACAGAAGTGATGTTAGTTCAATAGGAAAGTAATGGTGAATTAGAAGAGAAAGTCAAGAGCATTTGTACCCAGTGATTTGTACCCGCCTATTTGTGGGGTTACTGTCAAATGAAATATCATGGGCTTGAACGCAGGGCTTGAACTCAGAGACCAAAGTAGGTGTTAATGAAAAAGCCATCATGGGACATTGTTTATATCATGCCTTTATTATTTTTATAAATAATGGCAAACATACCTATTATTCCTTTCTATTTTCCCCACAAGAACAACCCTGCAAGGTGAGGTGAGTAACTGACCCAAAAATACCCGCCAGCTTTTATGCCTAAGGCGGGAATAGAACTTACAGTCTCCTGGTTTCTAGGCTGGTGCTTTAACCACTAGACCAAACTGGCTTGAATCAGAGGAACATGAACAACACATTGGACTATCAGAAATAAGAGAGTGATTTTTTAAATCTGAAAATGGAGGTAGAGAGAGAAAGAAAGAGGGGGGTAGTATGATCTTTATTACCCCACCCTCATGAATTAATACAATGCAGGCAGCTGTGGCCATAGAGATCAAGCCCCTCTGATCTTTAGAGAGACGGTAGAGAGCCTCTCACACACATATGTGCTATTGCTAAGGGAGGCTGTGGGGACAAATTGTCCTGTGCTCTGCCAGCCTGGCAGAAATTCATAAACGAGGGCTGGATTTGCTTTACAATTCAGTCAGAAAATATATAGCATACATAAACAGGATGTTATCAATTTGGAAGCTACATCTTTGAGTGCAGAAACATTCCCAGAAGAAAACAAAGCCAAAAACACAACAAATGTATGGTTCTGGACCAATGCCCACTTCCTCTCCTTGTTGCTTTGCGATTAAAATAAAGCTTCAACCACATTTGTACGCAATTACTGACCCCAAAGTCAAAGGGAGAGTGGTAGCATGATTCCTAAAGCCATTGAGATAAATATGCCTTTGGTCTTTGCCTAATCCAAAAGTCTTAATGCAAAACAATTTTCTAATTAACAGCAAAAACAAGAGACTGAGAAGTAATAATCAATAAACGTTACTTAAGATGAACACAGGTGCATACAGATACCCCAAAAGATTAGCTATGTGCATCCTAACCAAGTAAGATCATGTTTATCCTCCACTCATCCATAACTAAGGAAAGACATATCGTATCATTTTAGAATTACTCATTTCCTTGGATAGCAGCAACTCATACTTACAAGAAGCCTGGTCACCGTTGGTCTTGAGAGCAATATCATTCTTCTCCTGGCGCCCTTTTGTTCCTGAGATCTCTTCCATCTTATGGATTTCTGACAGGCACAATTTGGGGTTGTAGTAGAAGAACAGCTTCCCTCGGGCAATAGTGAGATTGTGTTTGCTCCAGTCCCAAAGCTGGCGGAGATTCTGGTTGTCCAGGGCATAAAATGAATAATTTCTGGACAAGGAATAAAAGGACATAAAGAAAATAAATGCAAAAAGAAAAAGAAAAAGAAAAGAAAGAGATTGCCAAGCAGCCTCTTTTTTCATCAGCTCTCATTTCTAAATCCCCCTCAAAACCTCTCTTGAGAGTAGAGACCAAAGAACAGGAGATCAAAACCAACTATCACTTTTCCTACCCTGGGTCTTTAATAGCAGACTGACTTGCTTGTGATGCTTTATGATAATGCAACAGTGGCAAAAGATATAATTGCTCTCAATAGTATTTTCAAGGGTTCAAGATATATCTGAAGAACTGAACTTACCCTGCTTCCAAAGTCTGTCCTCTGATCAGATGCAGCTTGCGGAAAAAAGAGAGAGACACCAGGGCATAGGAGCGACGAATTTTCAAATAACCTGTTATTTCTTCAATCAAACCAAGGTTGGCTTCCAACTCAGCAGCAATGTTAGCTAAAGGAGGATGAAACATCAGCCATTCAAGCCACAAAATTATGAACAAAGAGTAGCTTCTTATTCATACTGCGTCCTAACCTATGTGAGGAAGCACCCAGAGTCACTATTACAATCACCAAAAATAATAATCAGCATCAGCAAGTAGCTTCCATGCCCCCAAACAGAGGCATATGCCATGACTAAAGGCAACCATGGTCTTTCCCAGGCATTGCTCCTTTGTCCTTTACTAGTGTGCTTGCTTATCTTATTAGGCCCGGGTTGAACTACCCAGGACAGTACAATAGAAGTTCCCTTGGTTTAAGTGCCAATCAAGTGTTTTGAGAATGGCATTTGGGAAGTGAATAGGATCTGCAACAGTTTCTTTGGGGGGGAGGAGGTATATTGGAAATGTTAAAGAGATGAAAGAGATTCCTTATATTTTTGCAAGATTTAAATCTGCCAGTTTCCTCCTTAACTTACCCTCAAAAAGAGATGTCAGTAGGCCACATTTGGCCCTTAGGCCACACTTTTGCATCCCTGAGCTTTGTAAATTTGCATGATTGAAAATAGACTGGCAAAATTGTGACTTTCTGGTAGACTAAAATTTGGGAATATCCTCCAAGTCTAACTTGAAATACACCATCATCCCTCACCCAAAACTTTTTTAAAAATGTGGACATGGTCACTGGACAGGGAAAAAAAACTGTTTTACACTTTCTCTTGATTGGCAGAAAGTAAAACCGGACATAAGACACTCACTTCCTCCACGAATGTTGATAGTCAAGCTTCCATTCACAACGGTGCAGCCTCGGAGAGCCTGTGCAGCAGTAACCGAATCTATTATCTTTCCCTCACCCATATCACAGGTTTTGGGACAAAGACCCGCACAGGGTGTGCAGAGCAAGCTGAAAAAGAAAATACCAGAGGGGATCATTCAGGCTGTCCAATGCTCAATATAATGGATAATGGTGCAATAAAACACTAACTTTTTCCAATCTAGGAAAAGATTCTAGAGTTCATAGCCCCTATTACACGAACCTACAATCTGCAAACAGGTGATGCCTTAATAATTAGCTAATCTCTTCAGGTAATTTTTTTCCCAACCTCAACCAGGACAAAGGATTTGACAATACAGCTATCATCTTGTCCCCATGGTTACATTGGTTTGTTATCTTCCTGGTTCCTTAATAATTCAAATTTCAAACAAGATTTTTTGCATAGGATTCAATCATCTTATAGAATTTTAAAAAAAATAAATATATCATAGTGAAATCAGCAGGTAGGCAAATAAAGTAGTTGGTATGTTGCCAGCAAAATGCTATCATACTAGAATGGATTTACTTTCACAAAAGCAAAGAAAACTGCCACCAGGCTCAAAACCCCATATTCGTTCAAAGTTCTTGGAATGAACTGAACTGAAAAATATTACAATTAATACTAATGTCCAGAAAAATATCTGATTTACTATTAATTTATTTTATTATACACACTCTTCATACGACTCTGAGCAGTTTAAAACTAAGAACCAAAATAGAAATAAAATAGAAATAGAAACAAGCTCTCCTGTGATAAACAATTTAATTGCCAATTATCTTTTTTTTTTACTGAGAATGCTCCGAATTGTCCATTTCCTCTCTTCTATGAACATGTTGCTCTTCATTTTTCCCTCTTTACAACATAAGAATTAACAAGGAATCAGAAAATCCAGTCATCTCCTTGCAAAAATTATGATCAGCTGGAAGGAAACAAATTCCAAGTACGGAAAACCAAGGAATGTTTTCCAAGTATTTGGAAGGCAGAACAAATATGTGTGTATATATAATTATCATTCCATCCAATTCCATAAACTGTAGAAATACTAAGTTGCTTTTAAATAATATATGCATACATTAAGTATATTTTCACTCAATACTATCTAATTTAAAATGATTAGCATAGTCTGCAGAATATATCTTAGACTATTACTTAAAGAGTAAGTATTCATGATTTAGCTTTACTCTTGATTTTAATGTTACGGGGAGAAAAAGAACATTTCTACCCTTACTGAGAGAAAGATGTCAAGCTATTTTCTAAAGTGCCTGAAGGCCAGACAAGGAATAATGGATGGAAACTGAACAAGGAGAGATTTCACCTGGAAATAAGGAGAAACTTTCTGACAGCGAGAACAATCAACCGATGGAACAGCTTGCCTTCAGAAATTGTGAGGGCTTCATCACTGGAGGCTTTCAAGAAAAGTCTGGACTGCCATTTGTCAGAAATGGTGTAGGATTTCCCGCTTGGGTGGGGGGTTGGACAAGATGACTTATAAAGTCCCTTCCAATTCTGATTATCTGTTATCTGAGAACTATGACAGCACTACAAATCTGAAAGCTTCTCAATATTTTAGATCGCAAGTTTCTTTATTATTGCTTGGCACAAAATGCTATTTCCCCCTTTTTTTATTTCTCATTTGTAATTTATTTGCTACTAATCCTGATGTACCTCTCAAAACACAGCTATGGTATCTCTACACCCACCAATAAGAAGAGACAATAAAAAGGAAGAACTCACTTGGTAGAGTTCAAGATGTAACCGGAAGGGCACTCAGAGATGCATTCGCCATTGTGGATAACATGGCATTCGGACTTGCGGGCCATCTTGCATTTATTGTGTAGCTCCTGACAGAAGTTGAAAGTCACACACCGCCAGCCTTTGTAGCGATAGTAATTAGGTGGACATTTTTCTATACACCTGCCATCCAAAAAGAAATTCCGGCATGCCACACACTTCTCTGGATTGTTGGGCTCAATGCAGTTGCCAAGGCACTCTGTATGGCAGCACTTGCCAGTTGAGGTACAGCCCTGAGACTTACATGCGGGAGGACACACTGGAGAAGAGAAATAAGGAGATATTATTACTAGGCATTTTTAGAAGGAGATGCTCCTCACCTCAAGGAAAACTGCCTTTACTGCTTCATCAAAGCATACTAGACACATTAGAGTCCCCCATAAATGAGCACTTTATGGCTATTTACCAGAATGTCAATTGCCACTCCCACAACCCAGCAGATTGATTTTATTACTTCTGCTTACCTTTGCCCTTTTTCTAAATAGTAAAGTGCATTTCCAGTGAACACAGTGAGCTGCATTACTTGACATTTTTGTTTTCTATGAAAGCTTAGGAATCCTATCTAAAATTGAGAGGCATTTTTTAAAAATAATGATGATACAAAAGGCTGGTCCTTCATAGCAAGGTGGATTCCTGTTTTTTAAGTATAACATAATATTTTTAAAAATATAAAAAGTCAAGTGGCCATGACATTGAGCAAATAGCAAAAGAGGTATAATGATGCCATAGGACAGGGGGTCAAACTCGATATCGTTGAGGGCCGCAACAGTGTTGTGTTGGCCTCAGGGGGCTGGGGTGGGTGTGGCCAGGGCAGGCATGGGCAGCTTGACATCACTTGTGCTGAGGGCACCTGTGGTGGCCTAAGCGTTCTGCCAGAGAAAATGGGCTCCCGAGCTCCGTTTCAGTTGTGACAGCCTCCTAAAACCGTCTATGAGTGAAAATGGAGCTCCATTTTCAATGGCAGAGGCACCACAGGCCAGTCTTTCACTGTTTGCAGGGCAGCCCCATGGGCCACATCTAAGCACCCTGTGGGCTGGATCCGGCCCCCAGGCCTTGAGTTTGACACCCTCCATAGGACCATGTGGTAGATTTCAAGATCCCAAATCTAAAGATCTAGTTTTATTTAAAGTTTTGCAATGCAGCATCTTATCGTCACAAGACCGAATTCCATATGTTTCAATTCAGTCCAAATACAAACATTAAGTTTTAATTTTTGACCACACACTGTTCACCATCCATTCTTTGTTTATAACAGTTTCTGTTTTGTTTCTCCAAAAGAATTACCTTCATTCTACTGACTCCTTCCCATAAACCCTCCTTCTTTGTGATACTTGTTATACTTTTATTATGAGTCCACTCAAACATACTAATATCAGTTTTGGAACATGCCTTTTAATATCTAGACTGGCAAGACCCAAAGGTACTTTTTTCAAGGGGCAACTGGTCTTTCTCAAAGGTCCCAAAGCACCTTTGGGACAACCATGACCAGGATGACTGGGAATCTCCATTGGCAATAAGACTGACAACTGTTTACTCAACTTTAATTTTTTTCAACACAGAAAAACTGGTGATACAGGGATGGAGGAGGTGGATGGCGATGTACATAGTTTAATGTACTTGGAGCCATTTCTTAAAAAAATAGCATGCCTCTCTTCTTTTTATCCTTTTTTAAATAATCAACATACTACCAAGAATGACATGGTTAAAATCAGAACAAAACAAGCAGAAATGTAGACTTCAGAGGAAGGACAGAATCCCTTCATAGAAAAACTAGCATCGGCCTAGAATTTGGCTATGGAGACGCCTCCCCACCATGCTCGAAAGGACTCACATGCTATTCTAACATCATTCACCACTTCAGCTCTCTATGCCAGTCCAAAGGCTCTACCGCACAGAATATTACTAATAATTCTTAACTAATAGCAAGTCCTACAGGCAAGGCTGGAGTAAGGTATACAGACAAAATAAGGAACTGAAATAGATAAGAAATATCCTTGTCCTTAATTGAGCAAAATGATAATCAGGAAGAAAGCTTCCCCCCCACCCCACAAAGTTGGTTGAGGGGATAACCTTTAGAAAATAACTAAACTATTCCTTTTACCTTATAGTTGCTGCTCTCCAGAAGTGAAGAGGCAGCATACAGTAAAGCTCAGAGCAACAAAAGAGACCTGCTTTAGAGCAAAAACTACTGGGTGTCTAAAGCCAGTAGCCAAGTTTTGATCAAAATATGTATCTCAAAGCCACAAGCTTCTGGATCCACAGCCTCACATGGCTTAAAAATAGAACTTTTGAAACCACGATGGGGCTTTTCAAGAAACAGAAAAGCTTTTGAGAACAGGAAGGGCACTGAGTTTTTCACTTCTTCCATGATACTGTCAATTCTAATGCAGAAGCAAATTAACGTATGTATATTGATCAAAATATTTGTTGTTTTCTAGCACCTTCTGTTGTTGTTTTTTACTTTAATCTTGATAGGATCATATAGTCTGAAATGTATTTGTGGTACTTCAAACCACTAAACAGAGTTAACTAATGAAAAGTGGAGTACGGGGTTTCATTCCAATATTCTGTTCTTAACAGTCCCAAGAAAGGCTCGTGAAAAGTCAGAGCCGATACGACTGCAAAATGACTCAGCCTGGAAAGTGACAGTAGTCTATAAACAACAAGAGCTTAATTGATTTATTTTCCAGCCCTGTGAGAGTAATAGGCAATTTCCTTGTACTTTCTTATTATGCTTGTTGCAACTGCTGGTCTGGTAGTACAAGAGAGAAACCACATAAAGGAATATTTCCAGAGCAATGCAAAATACTATCTCTGAAGTTTCAAGAAGCACACCAGTTGCATTCTTCTCTGGATATTCAAACAGAGCTATAAAGAAAGCTCAGTTGGCTGTTTATGGCTAGAAGGGGCTAGCAGATACCCATATTAAGCAAAGGCACCCGATATACTTCCAAAAGTCTAGGCAGATGCTACCTACTTAGAAAGACAGAACTTCTCCATCTAGAAGAAGTCTATCCTTGATTATTCGTGGAGACAAATGGGAAATAGATGGTTCCTGCATGTCTTCCTTCTCTGAATTCTTTCAAAGAATATGGGATGACTGCTATTAGTAACAAATGCAAGTTAACTGAACTTATTGATCCAGCACAAACGCCTTCATGTTCTTTATTCAGCAGCAAAGATTCAAAACAACAATTAAACAGCTTTTTCCCAACTCTGTATCCTCAAAGTGTATTGTGCCCTTCCCAGAATTTCCAGTCAGCTCTCTGGCCATCTTAGCTGAGAATTTGGGAAGCTGTAATTCCAGCATATCCAAATAATGGCTGGACAGGGAAAAATTATTCCAAGTAATCCTGAGTCTTGGAAACTGGGCAACACCTAACATTTAACATAAATAAATAAATAGACAGATAGTAAGAGTTTGTGTCAATAGCTGGAGAAAGAGATTGTTTTTAGTCATCCTTGTCTACTCCACCAAACAAAATTCAGTTTTTACTTTAACTTAAGTAGATAAGGCTTTAAAATGCAGGATGTAGAGATTGCATGGTGCAGTAAAAAATAGTCAAACAACTCTGGGAAAGATTTAAGAAGGCAAGACAGTAGCCACCCACCATCCCCAAAGTGTGGAAAGACATTTACAGCACAGTCTTGGAAACCAAGTTTGCTAAGATATATACAAAACCAAGAAGAGTTAAACACTAAAAGGGCCTTGTGTTTTACTTGTGCAACATGGAACATTTAAAGAAGTCTGGTTTGCTATCTACACTGCCTTGTGTGAAGAATGGCAGTGCTAGGAGAGCATCAATTTCTTAGTATTCCAGAACAAGAACACTGCAGACAGATTCATGGAACGATAAACAGGTACAGTGCACCTGAAGGCTGTTCGTGGAAACAATATACTATGTTTCTCATATAATAAAGCCAGGTCTTTTTTTTTTTTTTTTGAGCCCCCCAAAAATGGCTAGGCCGTCTTTTCGGGGGTGACTTAATTCCCCACCCTTGCATCTTTGGGCGGGCGGGCAGCGATGGCTTGGATGTTGACCTTGGCATTGGTGGAGCACTTCATATCGGGGTCAACACAGGCAGCACCATATCCGGGTGTGCAACAAAAGTACTTCCTAACAGCAAGCCCCCCCACCGTTCCCCCCCATTTCGCATGTTTTAATACAGGCCTTAATATTGGGGGAGAGGCTTAATTTAATTTCATGCCTATAAAACATGCTGGGACTTCCTATTGGGGGAGGCCATATTGTTGGAGAAACAGGGTAGTTCCAATGATTAGAACTGTAAATATTCACTGTTAGCTTTGGTATCCATTTTATAGAGATCCCACCCACCCGCAAGTAAGGACAATTTTTCTGCAGTCTGCCTGAAATCAGAAAAGAGACTGGAATAGCCAGCTGAACAGGATTTTTTTATGCCTTTCAGTTAATGTAAAGAATTCTTCCAACTACTACTAAACTATTTAAGTGCTACTAAGAGAATACTCTATGGAAGCAAAAGCTGGAGTTTAAAGAAGCAGGATAGGAAGAATACTGAAGCTTTGGACTTTGGTATGAGAGAAGACTTCTGAGAATTTCATGGAGAGCCAGGGAAACAAATGGATCCTAGAACAAATCAATGCAGAGGTTTTCTTTTGAGGCACCAGGCTTAAATTATTCTATTTTGGGTACATTATACCAAGACCTTGCTCTCTGGGGGAAGGTTCTAATGCTGGGATAGGGTCAAAGAAAAAGAAGAGGATGACCAGCAACAAGATAGTTGGACTCAGTTATAGTGGCAATGGGGGCATCCCTAGAAGACGTGAAAGACAGGAAAAAAATCTATCCACATGGTCATGAAGAGTCAGTAAGAAATTGATGGCACATAGTCAGTCTCTTGGAGAATACAGAACTGCCAAAATGAGTTCACAAATATTCAGTACATGAAAACAACTCCAAGTATTTGCCAACACTCAAATGTGAAGACACATGGTCTCATTTTCTTGGAAGACTGTGTGATATCTTCCATTGTACTCATATCAGTGGATAAAGTGTAGATTGGGGAAACTGACTTCACGTTCAAAATTCCAGATACTTAGAACCAATGTCCTGAGCAATGCCTGTGCAGTCCTACTTCAGAATCTGGATTTATATCTATATGTCAGGTCTTTCACATATGCTTGAAAAGATGACGCCTACACTGAATGAAGGAGAAGTGAAGCCTTAACGATAAATCTATGGTTGCTTACGTGGCCACATCTTCCTCAAATGAGAAAGA